TCGCCATAGAGACGGGTGTCCTTGACCCCACCGTAGAGGGGGGATCCCTCGTCCCTCACACTGTAGAGAGGGGTGGGAATGGGAGAAGGGTCCTAAACGAGGCCATGGGAGCCAAGAGCTGAGCTGTGGTGGTCGGTGCTGCTCCCTTGCCCCCCTTGCCTGGTGGCTCACTGATAACTGGATACATGCGGGGTTCTCATCGTGCAGCGGGGACGTTCCTCCCACGCCCCTGATCAGCCATCGCGAACGGTTGACAGGGGTGGGAGCCGCCTGCCTTGCTGACTACGAGAGGGAGCACAAAGAGAAGGTGCGACTCTTCCAGCCCGCAACACCCCTTCCCTGCGCCTCCCCTCCTCCACACCTGCGTCTTAGGGGGTAAGGCGCGGGGCCCACGCTTCCGGGCTCACGTCCCCGTCATCTGTGCCTCTTCCGTCCCCGGGGCCTGGGCTTGCAAACCACACCTGCGCAGGGCGTGCGTAGAAGGCCAGACCCGGGGAGGCCCGAGTGGGCTCCAGGACGCGGAATCCTGGTCCCCGGCGGAGGGAGCGTGCGCTAGGAGCAGAGACGAGAGCAGGCGCCCGTTCCCCGGGGAGGGCCCTCCCGGCTCTGGGTACCTTTCGACAGCACAGGCCGTGGCCTCGTGGCTGATGGACGAGGAGTACGTGTGCCACTCTCCCCCCGGCAGCTCTCGCACCTGCACGGTGAAATAGCGGATGGGGGAGGCCCCGTCGCTGCCCGGGACCCACTGGAGCCGGAGGCTGCGAGCCGTCACTTCTGCCTGGGGCACCAGGAGCTCTCTGGGGGGCGCCGGCCGCTCTGCAACCCAAAGAGAACAGAGCAGGGGCGGTGAGAGGGCGCTTCTCCGGGAGGGCTCCGCGGGAGCACAAGCCTGGGGACTCGGCTCCCCACGGGATCAGACAACGTGGAGATGATTCCCGCACGTGGCTGGAGACCCCGGCTTGCTCCCGGAACGCGGCACTGTCAGCGCAGAGACAGAGAGAGGTGAGCCCACACGTGCCCCCCACACGACCACCTCCGAATGACACCTGGGCTCTTGCGAGCACCTCCAGGCCCCTCTGATCTCGGGCTCAGGGCGTCTGTCGTGCGGAGGCCGACCCGAGCCTGACACACGGCGGCGTCCAGCTCAGCATCCCCGGGGCCGGTCACTGCCGCCCTGCGCAGCGGCGACAGGGAACGCAGGGTGCACGGGGCCAGGACCCCGCTTCGGAGTGTGGATCGTTACCGTCCCGCGCCTCCTCGCCCATCGATTCCAACAGGGCGACTCCACACAGGGAGGAATAATTGTTTAATGGTTTATCATGAAGATTATTGATTCGGAGGAGAGTGCGTGGTGGGTAATAAAGCAGCGACTGACTGCGGGCCCTGCAGCGACGGTCTGGAGGAGCGCTTCCGTCTTACCCGGTCAGCAGTCCTCTCGCAGGGCTGGAGCTGGGGCTGCCTGCTTCCTCATACCCCCTTGCCCCTTGAGCACAGCTCCCCTGGGCAAAGCTTTGCTGGGCCCCCTCTCTCTGAGCCTAGAGCACGGAGGGCCTGTGGGCCCTGGAGGAAATCCGCTGAGCTCCGTGGACCCCAGGCAGGTGGTGCGGGGGGTTGGGGTAGGAGCTGGGGTGTGGACCCCAGGCAGGTGGTGAGGGGGGGGTCGGGG